ATTATTTTCCTTTGATATCAATCATAGAGAACCTGCTGTTGAGCGTTTGACTTTTCACTTGCCAAATGAACAGTATTTGGTTTTTGAGGATGATGTTCCATTGCAAGATGTAATCAACAACCCAAACTCCCACGTGACAAAATTCTTGGGTTGGATGGATGCAAATAGAAAATATCCTGAAGCAATGGGCCTTACATATGGTGAATTTCCTTCAATGTTTGTTTGGAATAAACGTAGTCGTGAGTGGACAAAGAGGAAAAAAGGATTTGCAATTGGAAGATTACAATTTATTCATCCAGGAAGTGGTCAACTATATTACATGAGAACATTGCTTAATCATATCAGAGGAGCAAAATCATTTAAAGATATTAGAACAGTAAACAATGTTGTTTATGACTCATTTAAAGATGCTTGCTATGCTTTGGGATTGTTGCGCGATGAAAAAGAATTCATTGATGCCATCATAGAAGCAAGCAATTGGGGGACATCTTATGCATAGCAATTGGGGGACATCTTATTATTTAAGGAAGCAATTGGTGAGGATAATGATGGATACTTAAACATTGAAATTCCAGATGATATGATACTCAACAACCAATCAGAAAATTGCTTCATTTGATTTACATCAGATCCTGAAGCATAAGATGACATCAATGAATTCTTTTTCATCACGCAACAATCCCAAAGCATAGCAAGTATCTTTAAATGAGTCATAAACAACATTGTTTACCGTTCTAATATCTTTAAATGATTTTGCTCCTTTGATATGATTAAGCAATGTTCTCATGTAATATAGTTGACCACTTCCTGGATGAATAAATTGTAATCTTCCAATTGCAAATCCTTTTTTCCTCTTTGTCCACTCACGACTACGTTTATTCCAAACAAACATTGAAGGAAATTCACCATATGTAAGGCCCATTGCTTCAGGATATTTTCTATTTGCATCCATCCAACCCAAGAATTTTGTCACGTGGGAGTTTGGGTTGTTGATTACATCTTGCAATGGAACATCATCCTCAAAAACCAAATACTGTTCATTTGGCAAGTGAAAAGTCAAACGCTCAACAACAGGTTCTCTATGATTGATATCAAAGGAAAATAATCTCCAAGCTGCTTCACATGAGGATAAATATCTGCAATCATAATACAACTTTATCTCATCTACACATTCTTTTTCTCCTTGGCCAGCACTTTGATAAAATGTTGCTGTAACACGATTACAGTGGAATGCAAAATAATAAAAAACAGAACAAACAATTATTATGATACCTTGGATTCACTGGAAGAACATCAACACAATTTTCACAAAAATATAAATCTCCACTTTTTGTACGTACACTCCTTGAACATTTAGTACATGCTTGGTAATACCATTTCTTTGAGTGGTCAAAGTCAATTGTTTTAGCAAGAACTACTACAATAGAAACCTAATGTGCAAATACACATATATCAAATAACAATTGATTTAATTTATGTATCTAAAAGAAGAAATTGGATTTATACATATAGATGTAAAAGATAGATTATCACCTTAGAACATTGAAGAACTTCAAAAATAGTCATTTTTGGATGTTTAAGAAAATCATCCATTGAAACATTGATACTTTGGCTAGATACATAACTAATCGTTTGGTTTAGTGATTTATTTCCATTCTCCAACCTAACAATAAAATTAACATAAAATATAAATCTAAAAAAATAATGAAACAAACAATAAAACAAAGAAACATACTAAAAAGAAACTGTAAGCATATTATTGAACTTACTTTTCTTTGTATTCAAGAGATTCCTTTAGATCGCTATTTATAAAGATCTTTGTACCATTAAAGGCATTTGAAATGCCATGAATTGCTGGAAAATATATGTAGATATTATTCTGTTAGTACGAATTTGTAAATAGTATAACTATAATAAACTACAATCTATTAAAATATAAGACACTTACATTGAAAAACTTTTGGCTTACATAATTGTAAAATGACTACTACAGATTTATCATAACCATTATCAGTCAAATAAGTGTTCATCTGTTCAGCATGTTCCGCCCACAAAGTATAATCAACATTATTTCCTCTGTATTGATGATACAAATAAAACAACAATTTTAATCAATTAATACATGAGTGTTGTTGTATAATATAAACATAATAATAGTCAAATGATAGTGCAAAATTTTACTCCAAATCTTCCAACACAATATCTAACAGTTTAACTGTAATTCCACTTCTCATTGTTTCCTTCATGTCAAACTTCTTAATCACATGACCAATGACATCTGAAAAAATATGATCAAATAAATTTTAGTTTAACGTAAAGGAATAATTGTAAACTTTAAATTTGAAGTATGACTAACCTATTGTACGCGTTTGGTCAAGTCCAGTCAAAATTTGAGTAAAAGCTACAAATTTAAAATAAGTTTTAGGGATGGATGGAACATCTCCAATCTTAGTACAACTTGTGATTTTAATGAAGTTAATCTTGTACTTATGATCTGTCATAATAAATTTAGGATCATGCAATCCAACCAATATATTAGAAATTATATAGCAAGACCCCATCTTCAAGATTTGAGTCAAATGCACCGATTAGTGTCGATTTCACCAAAGCTTGGATAATCGAACACTGAAAAATAACACAGGAAGAGGTAAAAATGCAATATTTTGGCAAAATAACAAAAAATTAAATACCAGATGACAGCTAATAAACAACAATTGTAACACTCACTTTGTCATCAATCAAAATCATTTCTAAATTGGTAATAGTATTGTGGTCATTCCAAGAATGGACTTTCCACAAGCTTCGTATACGAACTTTAATCTGCCAATTCAGTTTTGGGGGAACAATTTCAGAAATCATGCTGATACATAAAGTCATTCTGCATAAATTGCAAAAGAAAAAATTAAAACAATTAATCGAAATAGATGAAGTCAAAACATGAAAACATATGTGGATTAAAAACTCCAAATAAACATTTTATTTACCTAAACCTTGGTGTGGGTTTAGGGTTTGGAGAGCATATTATGCCTTAATGAAGGTTGGATCTATTTATACTAAAATCAGGATGATAATAGTGTTATTACAAACTGCATTGGAAATCGTAAAAGAATTGAAAAGGTAGATTCAAAGAATGGAGAAAAGTAGAAGTAGACAAATTTTGAGAATTCATCGTTCCTTACACCTCTCAATATTTAGCCGTCTCACTATTAAAGAGGTGGGTGTAATTACACAATTTACACAAATACTTATAAAAAAATCATTAATAATTTTAGATGGCAGTCTCCATTAACCTAATATTTATTACTAACCTAATACTTATAAAATAATATTTTATATTTAATATAGTAGTTAATTTGAAGATTTTTTATAATATTGGTATTGTATAGCAATTATTACTAACCTAATATTTATAAAAAAATATTTTATATTTAATACAGTAGTTAATTTGAAGATTTTTTATAATATTGGTCTTGTATAGCAATTATGAATGTGTAAAATAATCAAATATTATTTAGTAATTTAAAAAATATGTAAATTATTTTAGATAAAAAATATTCGTATTTAATTTGAAATTTATTTTTTGACAATGAATTTATAATAAATCAAATGTTTGTATTTAATACTTTTTAAAAGAAGAGTAAGGGTGGTGGTTAAATAAACAAAAGATATTTAGTTTTCGTTAAAATGAGGCTGTGTTTTAGGTGGGATGCAAATTCTTAGACATTTAAAAGGGAGGTTGAGTTGTGTATTTTAAGAAAATCATTCATGCATTGTTATCTGAAACGTCACCCTAACTAATTAGGTGGTAGGGTAATAACATTAATTACAATAATAATAATAATAATAATAATAATTATTATTTTTATATTATTTTATTGAAAAGAATGGTTGAGTTTGAGATTTAGGCGGATTGAGTTGGAGAATTAGACGGCGAAGTAGTAGCATAATATTTTGCCTTAATATATTAAGAATTAGAAACAATTCTTATACATAAAATTATAAAGCACAAAGAAAATTATGCACAATTGATTGTGAATTTTATAAATGAAAATACACCTTAATTACTCTTTATGGTTCCCTAAAATAATTTAGTCAAAATCTGTGCATCTAAAAGCATGAAACAGCTTATCTGCATGACTAAAATTTTCATAAATTCCAACAAAATCTTGCTCCTATATTCAACCAATTCTCTTGCTTGCATTTAAAAGTTCTGAAATAATTCACCGAAAATTATGAACTTTGACAAGAACAAAAATGTGCAGCACATTTCCAATTCTCTAAATTTTTTTTGGGATAACACTAATTTCTGTCCTAAAAACACATGTTAAAAAATTTATAACTAAAAAAATTGAACTATAAAAATAAATAATAATAATTTAATAAAATTAAGGCACAATTTACAAAATAATATTTTTTTATATAATAATTATTAACTTAAGGACCTAAATCAGCATTATCAAACTTTTTAAATGTTATTATTTCTTCATATTGGTGATCAAGAACTTTAAAGACAATTTTAATTTAAAATTAACTTTTAGCCTCCAAAAATTGCATCTTCAAAATTTTTATATGTATCTTAAGATGCTAATAAACCTCCCACCATTATCTATTACATGTAGTTCCACTCTTTATTATTACGAAAAATGTATTTGAATTTACGGTGAACAAAATTAATTTTAATAGAATTGAGTTTGGTAGAATTGATTTTAACATAAACGAGTTTGATATATGATTTATATTTAGATATATTTATGTAAAAGTGAATGAAAAAAAAAAAGACTTTTGTAAAATACTTACACAGAAACCTCCATTAAAAATTCAAAATTATTTTTCAAATTATTATGAGATTTACACGACAGTATTATGATTTTTCATTAAATATGTACAATAAAAATGAAAAGTATATGTATATGTTTATGTATAGATACAAACTTTGCAAATTGATAATTAACATATATAAGCAAACTGCCATAAAATGCCAATCTAGAATTCTGCCCATTAAATCTCAGCCCTTCCTTCCTTATCATACCACACTTCGCTCTATATTATCTTTCTACTTCCTTCCCCTATTTTTCTTCCTCTATCACCTTTCCTCTATGTTATATTGCACTCTTCGTTATCCTCATTTCTATGAAACAATCACTTTTTTTTCAGTTTGTACTCTACACTCTTCAATAGCCTCAGAAACTCATTAAAAACTTTCTCTCTATCTTCTTCGATTTTCGAAGTTCATTAATAGCACACTTGCTTTTTATTCTCTGGTATTAAATTTTCTGCAGCTTGTAAATATAATTATTGTTTTGTCAATACCATACTTATAAAGCTTCAGTTCCGTTTTTTTCTTTCTTTTGTTAATATTGAAGGAATTGAAAATGGCACCGAGATACAGTCGCGGAAAGGCCAAGGGAGAGAAGAAGAAGAAGGAAGAAAAGAGTAACGAAGTTCTTATTCAATTATTTAATTAAGTTCTAATAATATAAGCACTTAATTTGAGAGCTTATACAAATAATCGCTTAATTTTGTTATTGTTGTTGTTGCTGTAATTTTGCAGTTCTTCCTGTTGTCATGGATATCACAGTGAACCTTCCGGATGAAACTAGTGTTGTTCTGAAGGTTTGTTATAATTTTTTTTTTTTTTATAATTAATTTGGAAAGAGATTAAAGGAATAATATTAAATGTATTAATGTAATTGGCTATTTTGTAATCTTGTGTCATCATTTGTTTATACTAGTACTTGAGTTAGGCTTACACAAGTATTTGAATTTCTAATTTCTGTAATACATGTGTTTCACTTTATATACTTTATAATAATGTTTGGCTTTTTCTGTGTGAATATAAATATTTTATCATTATTAATGTTGATATAGAATACAAGTGTGTGGATATAATAATAATATGTTGACAAAAAATAAATGACTATTTCTTCAACAAAAAAACAAAATCTAATTTTGCAATTTTCTGCTAAGTAGCTTGAATATTTGAAAACTTCCACTTACTATGAAGAATTTCGTTTTCCTCTCATTTTCAATTCTAGTTTCTTTAGCTTTCACGACTTTGTTACTATTTTTATTTTTTATTTTTTTATTTTTTATATATTTTGAAGCAGGGTATATCAACTGATAGAATAATAGATGTTCGTCGGCTTTTATCGGTGAATACGGAGACATGTTACATTACCAACTTTTCTCTATCGCATGAGGTAAAAATTGTACAATTACACTCTGTAAAATCAATATAGTTAATAATTATACAGAAATATTCATTGTCATTTTGAAATATTTTATAACCATTCACACGCGATAAATGATTTAAAAAATTGTATAATTATAATTTTAATGATGATATATCTCAAAAATTTTAAAAATTAAAAATATTTTCGAAAGTTAAATATTTTAATTTTAAAAAAAATATTTTGTATGTCAAATATGTGTTATACATGCGTGTTGGTGTATTTATTAACAAATTATTTGACTTTTTTTGACCTACCTACGGATGCTGCGAGGCTGATAGCCAACCCAAAGCATCCATCGTAATCTCAGAAAAACATAAAAATAATAAATTTAAATTGCATGTGCTCTTGAAATCCACAAAAAAATAGCCACCTCATGAAATATATACAGATAACGGTTTTTGTCAGATATTTAAAATATAAAATTAAAAAATTATTTATATTTCACTTTTTTTTGGGGTTATTTAATATAAAATTTTGTTTATTCTGTAAAACAAACAGATAATATATATTCATGTTTTGATGATGTAATGTATTACAGATAAGAGGGACACGTTTGAAGGATACGGTGGACGTGTCCGCACTGAAACCATGCCTCCTCACTTTAGTCGAAGGTTTTCTCTCTCTATCCAATTTTTATTTTATTTTCGTATAACTTTTATTTATTTAAGCGAAATAAATGAAAAAAACGTTACGACGTCGTTAAGCTAATCTTGTGTATATGTGGAACGCGCAGAGGATTACGATGAGGAAGGTGCGGTGGCTCACGTGCGGAGACTACTGGACATCGTGGCCTGCACCACCAGCTTCGGTCCGTCGTCTCCGCCGAAGAATGGTGCGAGGTCGAGCAAATCTCAATCGCCGCCTCCGGCGAAGCAATCACCGAAAGACGCTGCGGTGACGGACGGAGATGGAGAGATAAGCCACTCGTGCCCTAAGCTGGATAGTTTTTACGAGTTTTTCTCTCTCTCAAACCTCACTGCGCCTCTTCAATGTACGCAATTCAACTTCTCATTCTTCTACTTTGACATTCTTTTGTTCAAATTCTCTGTGTGATTTCATTTCGGTGACGGTGATGTGAATGGATGAGTGCAGATGTGAAGAAAGCTTCGAGGCGATACGTGGAGGAGATATCGGAGGAGGATCATCTCTTCTCGCTCGATGTAAGTATTTTTTGCCTTTCAATTTCTCGTCGGGCGTTAATTAATTTTAAATTTAACGAGACGCGCGTTCGTCTGAATTTCAATCAATTATTTTCTTTTCAGCTTAATTTTAATCAAAACCAATTTAAAGTTTCTCCTGTGTAAAATCATATACTAATTAAAACCAATCTGTATGAAAGTGATTATTAAGGATGTGTTTTCACTTTTGAAATTAGATTTAAATTAAATTTATTTTAAAATTCTAATTTAGTGAAGAAATAGTAAAGGTAATTATTTCATAATAAATGAAATCATATGCTATGATGAGTAAGTTAGCTAGCTAGTTAAGTTTAAATGTTTGGCCACTTAAATGATTTTTTAAAGGGTAATGATAACGTGGGTCCTAATTAGAAAAGTCAATGAAAGTATTAATTATTAGTTTTTAATTAAAACAATGTACAATTTTTAATAAAAAGTTTTCACATTTATCTCTTAACATGTCCATTTAGGACACAGGTTAGCATTATCTTTTTTTAAATATTAAACTTGTATAATGTCTTTTTTTTTTAATTTTAATTTCAGACAACTTTATTGTTATATATTATTCCTTTTAAAATATAAATCGCCTTTTGTATTTAAATTATTCATCATTTTAAATTTAAAATATTATTTTTTTAATTTTATAAAGAAAATGTGATAAGATTAATGAAATAATATTATTTATATTATTTATTTTGTAGTAAAATATATACTCTACAAATATGGCAAGGTAGACTTTGGGAAATAAATTGATAAGATAATGATAAATAAAGTCTTTGAATATGCAGAAGAATTAATGTTCAAACATTTTAAAAAGATAAATGACTAATTGATTTTATAAAGGTCAAAAAATATATTTAAGCCAAAATGTAAATTGTAAAATACTTTAAGCCAATTGAGTGATATTGATAGGACTTGCTAATGAGAACATTTGTCATTCTAGTTGAATTAAAAGTTTGGTTTAGAATGATTATATCTTTCTTTTTGTTTCCCATTATTAAATTTTAGACAAAATACTCATTTTAGTCTCTTAACTTTCAAAAAAATTTATTTTAGTAGTATTTGTCCATTTGGCGACGGATTTCAAAGTTTTTTCGTCGCTAATTAGACAAAAAAGACTAAAATGAAACTTTTTGAAAGTTAAATGACCAAGGTGACACGAAAAAAAGTTAAGGGATCAGTCTCAGAGTATAGTTAAGGGACCAAAATAAGTATCTTGCCTAAAGTTTATCTCTTCCAAACTTACTTTTTTCCATTTTGTGCCAGACATGCTTATGTTGTGCTGTGTTCTCAGGTGAAGGTGTGTAACGGGAAAGTGGTGCACGTTGAGGCTTGCAGAAAGGGGTTTTACAGTGTTGGGAAGCAGAGGATTCTGTGTCATAATCTCGTTGATTTGTTGAGACAGATTAGCAGAGCTTTTGACAATGTTAGTGCTCTTTCCACTATTTGTCTCTTTAATTTAATTTAGTTTAAGACAAATAATTATTACAGTGAAGTATATAATTTATTAGTATTAAAAGTAAATGTGGCTTGTGTTGCTTTAATGAGTGAAACTTTCCAGTTTCAAATGTTCTAATGAAATTGTATAATTTGGTATTTTAAAATTGTTACAGGCATTGTATCAGATTCCGAAAAATTATGTCTATACTCTTGTATAACTATTGAGAGAGCTTTGAGCAAAAACCTGTCATGAAAATTAATTCAAATCTTAAACACAGGAGTTTCTTGATCACAACTTAGTAATGTTAACAAATTTTGTTTCTCAATTTTCAGGCTTATGATGATCTCTTGAAGGCATTTTTAGAACGTAACAAGGTATGGAACAACTTCCCTTTTTGGTATTTCTTATTTGTAATGCAAAATTTACCAAAGCTAGTAAAAAAGAAGCATAGAACATGTTAGTGACTTTGATTGGCCCGTAAAAATCCTGCTTACTGCGACTAATGCTGTATTTACCTATGCTCTCTGCCTCATTTTCTTTTGTCCTCAGTTTGGAAATCTTCCCTATGGCTTCAGATCCAACACATGGCTTGTTCCTCCTATTGCAGCACAATCACCATCATTTTTTCCTCCTCTTCCTGTGGAGGATGAAAATTGGGGAGGAAATGGTGGTGGTCTTGGAAGAGATGGAGAGTATGATTTGATTCCTTGGGCCAATAAGTTTTCTTTTGTTGCATCTATGCCCTGCAAGACTGCCGAAGAAAGACAAGTTCGTGATCGAAAAGCATTTCTTCTGCACAGTCTGTTTGTTGATGTTGCCATTTTCAGAGCAATTAGAGCTGTTAAACATGTTTTGGAAGATCCCAGTCTTAGCTGCTCAGCAGCAGAAAATGATATTTACAGTGAGAAAGCCGGTGACTTGAGCATTAGAGTCTTGAAAGATGGTTCTGTTGCAAGCTGTAAGATTGATTCCAAAATTGATGGAGTTGAAGCTACAGGAGTAAATCAAAAGGATCTAGTCGAACGGAATTTACTGAAAGGGATCACTGCAGATGAAAATACTGCCGCCCATGTATGATATTTTTATATATATAAAGATAAAAATTGGTTAAATTGGTGTTTTGGCTGCTACTTTTCCTTCCATAGAATTGATATATATCTCGCATTTAATGTGCAGGATATTACCACTCTAGGTGTTGTTTACGTAAGATATTGTGGTTATGTGGTTGTTGTGAAAGTCGAAGGTGAAGCTAATGAAAAAGTCAATTCTTCATCTCATCAAAATAATGAATTGTTTGATCAGCCAGAGGGTGGTGCCAACGCACTA